GTGTGAAACCGTGTTGTATGAGACCTAGAGCCAGTACAAAAACGAGGGTTATGTTCCGAAAATTTATTAAAAACCAATTTTTTTTTAATTCTACATAAACAACTTACCAACCATAAACACTCACTGAGATAGAAATTACTTGTTTTGATTCAAATATACTTAATTGCATCTATAATTGAGCTCTAACTTTATGTAATGTGGGAATATAATTTTAGTTACTGGAACATAAAAGCAATGCCTCACCTGGATCAACCAGTTTTAACATAACGCCACCGTTAAGCTTAATGTCTTAAAGACGAAAAAGTTATTTTTTAACACACCGCGGCTCGACGCAAACTGCCGACCAGCAGTGTGAGACACTTTTGTTTTCAGGCCACGGAGATGAAAAGAAATAATTTCCGTAACACTCACTGAGATAGAAATGTATACATCTCAGTGGCAACATTGTATCTTTAAGACGGCAAGCCTCGCTGCGGCTGTAGAAGTACAGTACTTTACAAAGGTTTTTGCAATTTTCTTATCGTATCAGAGCGAAACCGTGTTATAGGATACCGTGTTGTAGGAGGGTTCGCGCAATTTACGAATCGTGTTATAGCGAAATCGTGTTATAAGATGCCGTGTTGAAGGAGGGCTACCTGTACATAAGAAAAAAGGGAAATAACACACAGATATATAGGAGAAAGGAGAGGCCTAAGAGCTAAATAATTAACAATAATAACAAAAACTATAAAAAGAAGAGAAAAGAAGAAAACTTTTATCCGCGGAACGGCCTCACAACGCAAGGAGAAGGAAGAGATACAAGATCCAATAATCGTTGGCCAGGGTCCCTGATCGGGTGGCCGAACCTGACAAAGACCAGTGAGCCACTCGTAACCCGGGATTCGGGAGATTAATCGGGCGTTCGCGTGACGAATGTGGGATCGAAGCACCCCGCATTCCTCGCTGTCCAAAACCCGTACAGGAAAGCCCTCCGGGACGATAGTTACCCGCACCCCCTCAAGGGGCCCCAGACGTGAATCATCCATCGGAACCAATGCAATCTGCAAATAAAACATAACAAAATAAACCACAAGGGTCAACCCAACGCTATCACTAATCCTTAAAAACTATGGACACGCACATGCAAAACCACCAACATGAAAATAGAAAATGATGATATAAAACAACGACAAACACGAGCATGACAATAAGAAGTAAAACACGAAACAAGGCAAAACAAGGACACAAAATAATCAGGATATACCACATCAGGAAAGCGGCATAGGAGAAGGAAGAGATACAAGATCCAATAATCGTTGGCCAGGGTCCCTGATCGGGATAACACTGCCGACTGGATTCCGAACAGCAGGATCAGTAGCAGTTAGCCCGACGCTCAGTAAAAGCTCAAACTGAGCAATTACGGGTACGCTGCACAAGAGCACGTCCAACAATATACACGAGCGCAGCCACCAGAGGAGCAACAGACCGGCCCCTTCCACCACCAGTCCTCCACGCCTGTAGGAAAAGGACAGGCCGAACCTGACAAAGACCAGTGAGCCACTCGTAACCCGGGATTCGGGAGATTAATCGGGCGTTCGCGTGACGAATGTGGGATCGAAGCACCCCGCATTCCTCGCTGTCCAAAACCCGTACAGGAAAGCCCTCCGGGACGATAGTTACCCGCACCCCCTCAAGGGGCCCCAGACGTGAATCATCCATCGGAACCAATGCAATCTGCAAATAAAACATAACAAAATAAACCACAAGGGTCAACCCAACGCTATCACTAATCCTTAAAAACTATGGACACGCACATGCAAAACCACCAACATGAAAATAGAAAATGATGATATAAAACAACGACAAACACGAGCATGACAATAAGAAGTAAAACACGAAACAAGGCAAAACAAGGACACAAAATAATCAGGATATACCACATCAGGAAAGCGGCATACAGACCGTACACAGACCACTGTCTTGACACTCTATCACACAAGACTAAATCATAAGAATCAAATTAATAGAATTCACTTAAAATATAATAATAGGGAAAAGACTCGACCAAGTACTCTTCTCTCATCAAATCTACTGATCTTAAAATCACACTAAAATACTAAGTTAAAACTCTTTTACAAAGGAAAAGAAGAGAAAACTGGTCCACAAACCTCAAACATATATTAAAAAAAAAAATCGACAAAAACGGAAACACACGACTCGAAAAGAGAAACAACGTACAGAACAAACAGGAACAAGCAATATAGGCAAATTACAAAAATATATATTTTATTATTACATACTAAATTAACTTATACATAAGAATAGAATAGCACACAGATATATAAAAAAGGAGAGGCCAAAAGAGCTAAATAATAATTAATTCATGAAAAACAATAACAAAACTATATAAAAAGAAGAAAAGAGCTCTTTCATCCACGAAATGGCCTCACTACGCAAGGGGGAGGAAGTCTAACTAGGTCCAACACTCGTTGTCCAGGCTCCATGGCCGGGAGAACACTGCCGACGGGGTTTCGTACGGCAGGATCAGTGGTGCTCAACCCGACGGTCAATAAAAATTCAAATTGCGCGAACACGGGCGAGCTGCACAAGCGCTCGTCTGCCAAAACAGACGAACGCAACCACCATAAAGCCGGGTATTTATCTGAGCACGAATGCGAATGAGGCAAGGCGAGGCCGAACGAGCATACATATGTGGACGTGTAACCGAGGCGCGGCAAACTGCATTCGGCTGTTCGTCGCACAGACTGAGGCATTCGGGACCCGAGCTGATCGGAGTCGATACTTCAAAGAAAAAGGGCCTAGCTGGATAAGAGGGTCAAATGTGCCCTTGAGCCGAATGAAGCGCCGTTTGTGCCATTCGATAGTATATCAAAAAAGAAACATTCACTCCAATTTTCAGCCCTATATCTCAACCAGGGGGGGAGTAATCGGGAAAATTCGAAAAATCAGTTTTTTGAGGTTTTTCCTTATTTAACGCCTTGCGAAAAATCTGAAAAAATTCTGACATGTCCGCAGTGTAGTTGGACAAGTCTGAGAATTTTTTCAGATTTTTCCCTTGCAAAATGTAGCCGTGAAAAATAAAAAAGTGCTAAAAATAATTTTTTCACATAGAAAATGGGGGGGATACTATTTTCATATTTTTATGGTAGATTCGTATTGTTGCAAGGATTGTTCATGAATTTTTTCAGATTTTTAAAATTGGTGCGTCAATGTGAAAAAAATCAAAAACTTCTTTTTTTGCTTGAAAAAGTAACTTCTGCTTCGAATTTGTATGTCTTTTTCATACAGAATTTTTATTACATGTTTTTAAACATTTTCAGTAAGGATAGACATAATTTCAACAACGATAAAGTGAAAATAAACGAAATTGTCCCATGTTCAAGTGCCGAGACGGAAGACAGTTTTCCAACAAC